TTATAGGGTAGCTTTATGAAATGACAGAATTAACTTGTTAACTTTACGGAAGATGGGAATTTTTTTTCTTTTCTTTTTTTTGTATAAGTAAGGGATGGTGTTAAACTATCTTGCTGAAATGGTAAAGATTTTGGATATTTGAAGAACTAATTAAATGAATAATTTTTATTAATACGGAGGAGATGGATTGTTTAAGTTTTGACTTTGGAGTTAGAGATATTAATATTTGTTTACTTGTATTTGAATATTAGCCTAGGTTGGTTTGGGAAGTCCGGGGGGTGGGGGGATGGGATATAACATTGTGTAATATCTGTGATGTATTTTCTTTTTTTTTATGATAAAAACAATAAAATTTTATATTAAAAAAAAAAAAAGAATGAATTCCACTTGACAAAAAGCATCCATGAAAGAGACCTTAAAAAAGATGGATTGATGACATTGGCAAGTACTGCATTGGCAAAAAAAAGGTCAGAACAGGACTTTTGGAAAAGTTCTAAGATCAGAAGCAAATTTATTGAATAAACAATAAAGAAGTAGGTATAATAAATAAAAACCTAACTACTTGACTGAAATAGAGATTTTTAAGTGCTGAATATGCATAAATCCAGAAGAGAGATGTAAAAAGCAACAATAATGGTGAAAATCCATATTAATTGGACTCATTTTTTTTTTTATTTAAATATCATAGTGCAGTGATGGCAAACCTTTTAGAGACCGAGTGCCCAAACTGCAACCCAAAACCACTTATGCATCATCGGGTGCCGGGTAGGTGTGGACCATTGCTTGGGTGTGGCCAATTGGGTGGGTGTGGCCCATTGGGTGGGCGTAGCTGTGGTGGTAACGGCAGACTGGGTGGGACTAAAAAGTTCAATCAATCAATTCCAACTTTGCAAGATATTTTTTTTCCCGCGAGAAGTTGAAATTGACTGATTGATTGAACCTTTTTTTTTGCACACGGTGGTGGAGGCGTAAAGCGAAAAGATTTTATAAAAATCAGCTGAAGGCCTAGGACTTGGGCAATGGTGCACATGCCCACAGAGAGGGCTCTGAATGCCATCTCTGGCACCCATGCCATAGGTTCACCACCATGTCAGAGTGCTTATATTATCATTTGGTATTTTCTGGAATATAATTGTACTAACAGTAACTTTAATGGGGACAGTTAGAAAACTATAACTGATTCATTTCACAATGATTTCTCAATGGTTTTCCTAAAATTAACTTCTTTTCTGTGGGTGTTTTGAGGGAATAGCTTTAGTTTGATAGAATTCCCCATGAAAATATGTTTTTTTTCTAAAAAAAAGAAAGAGTTAAAAGGAAATCCAAACCCCTTCACAAGAATCATTAAAAATATTTTATAATGTTACATATCAATAGACATATTCAAATAAAAAAGTGTTTAAACATGTTTTCGTATCAGTTGCCCCCTGTTGTTTAAATCAGGCCTCAAAACAATAATGTAACACTTGGGGAAAAAGATGCAACTTAGGAGTCCAGCACTGGAGGACAAAATGGAGAAGATCTCCACCGCCACCATGGCTTTACCTCTGGTGCTCAGGTATGTTGGAACAAAGGTCACCCATACACTGCAGAAAGCCAACATGCTGAAGGTGATGAACTTGGCTTCATTGAAACTGTCAGGCAGATTACGAGCCTGGAAAGCCACAAGGAAGCTGGCAAATGAAAGGAGAGCCATATAGCTCAGGACACAATAAAACATAAAGAAAGACCCTTCATTGCATTGTAAAACCATTTCTTCAGGGACTGAGTGCATGTCTAATTCTGGGAATGGGGGAGAGGTTGACAACCACACAACACAGATGCTTGTTTGGAATAGAGAGCAGAAAAGGACAATAGAAATAGCCAGACTTTTCCCCACCCATGTCCTCATCCGAGATCCTGGTTTGGTAGCCTTGAAGGCAAGAGAAACAAGTATCGTTTTGGCCAACACACAAGAGATGGACACTGAGAAGATGAGACCAAATGCAGACTGTTTGAGGAGACAGGTCACTCTCCCAGGTTGTCCAATAAAGAGAAAAGAGCAGAGAAAGCAGAACAGAAGGGAGATCAGGAGAGTGTAGGTGAGATCCCGGTTATTGGCTTTGACAATAGGACTGTTTTTGTGCTTAATAAAAGTTCCCAGCACCCATCCTGTAATGAGGGAAAACACAGCAGCAAGACAAGCTAAACTATACCCTAAAGGTTCTTCATAAGACAGAAAGTTTATCCTTTTTAGGAGACATCCATTTCTTTCTTGGTTTGCATACTTATCTTCTGGACATTGAAAGCAAGCTACCATATCTGAAATTTAAAAAAAAAACAAACCACCCATGTTGTAATGAATAAATGTAGAGTAACAACAGTGGCTAAACTGATTCCTAAATGTTCTTCATAAGGCAAGAAGATTTTTTTTCATGATGCATTCATCTTTGTCATGATTTGCATATTGATTTTCAGAGCATTGAAAGTAAGAATGTGTCTATAGTGATTCTCAGTCATCGAGGTCATGGTTGTCCCAAAAATGCTTTTTCAAGAGTTCAAGACAGTCAGAACTGAAGAAGCTTCTTAGATGAGAAGCAAAACATCTTCAAGGAAACACAAAGTCCGGTTGCTTCTTGAAAAAGCACCTTTGGGATAAGTAAGAACATTTAAGAGGAAAATAATAGCCTTATGTCAATACAGGTTCATGAGACAGAGAATTAATTCCATGCTCAGAATAATATAATTTTCAATGAATTAATGAATTTGTTTTCTTCATTTCCCCATTCCACTTCCAAATAAATGTACAACCTAAACAAAAAACAGATTAGCTGAAAGTATTCAACAGAACACAGACTCTAAGATATAGAATTATTTATATAGAATTCTTCATTGGCCAGGTGTGATTGGACACACACAAGGAATTTGTCTCCAGTGCATAAGCTCTCAGTGTGCATACAAGCAACAAGTGATAAATCATGATCCTAATAATAAAATACAGTCATCATAAATGATAAGGTACAACACAAAATGATAGTCATAAGATGCTAAAGGAATAGGTAATAGGAAAGATGGGAAGGATAAGAGTAATACAGCCCTACTACATGGTTGGATATTCTAAGGAATAAGACTTTATTGTGGGAATTAGTTGTTTAGCAGAGTGATGGCATGGGGAAAAATGTCTTTGTATCTGGTTGTTTGGTATGCCTGTATGCCTTTACACAGTGTACTTGATTTCTATGGAAGTCTGTCTGAAATTTCAATTTCATCTCTATAACAAGAAAATCAGAGGAGTTTGTTAACGTACCCACTTCTTTAGAGATTTTCCCTTTTGGACATGGAACACAATCATAGCAGCAGAATTTTTTCCCTTCATTCTTCCTTTTCTGATACCCAGGGTGACAATAGTCATTGCACCGAGAAATAGGAAGGACCTAATTATCAATATTAAATGTTGGAAGATGAAGATGTATTGTTTTGAAGACAAAATAGTTATTACACTGAAAATAAAATGTTCTACGATATTAAAATATCCTAACAAAAAGCTGTACAAAAGAATAAAAAAATCTATTTATTTGAAAATATAGTTAGGACCATTTCAACTGGAACTTTAATTTGAATTTGTGAGCATATCTGATCTGACTTTCCAGGTTTTTCAATTAGATTCATATCAGGATCTCAATATGCAATATAGCATTAGTTCAATTTATTCAACGAGAAAAAAAATGAGTCAATCAAATTCCATTTAAATCACATCTCTGAAGTAGCTTTACTCAAACAAGGAAATACAGTTGCTTAAATGCATGTCTTTTTCTTTCACATTTTTCTTTCAGTTTTTCATGGAGGTGTAATAAATATTATGCAAAATATATCTGTCTTAGCTCTTTACAGTAAAAGTTGAAAGAATATCATTTTCACAGATTGCCTGGAAGCTAATATCTCAACCTAATGAACCCATCATAGAATAGTCATATAAAGTCTCCTTGTAACCATACCTGGTTAAATGATCTGTGCCAAACTATCATCTCCTCATTTATGTCTAATTCCTTTCCTTTAAGAGCATCAGGGTTCATTGTTCCAACCTTTACTCTCTGGTAAGTGGAATTGGGAAAGACAACTATGTTTATGATATCAAATCCACCCTCCATCTTCTTTTGATCGTAAAAAGTCAAGGCCTCTCCAAGAGAATTATTAAATTTCCAGCTTTTAAGAAATTGGTGGAGCTAGATTATTGGGAATAGGGAAATAAAGAATAGAAAGGTAGTTGTGTTATGCTTTTAAGGGAGAAACTCTGAGAACACAGAAAATCTATTTGTCCAACCTCTTGAAAAACTGTTTACAAATAAGAAGGATTCAATCTTTCAGTCTGAGGAATAGTCAAATGAAAGGTAAAATTGATTCTAGCCTAGCACACCCTCTTGATCCTAGCCCCAGGAAGAGGCATATAAAAAATTAGAAAAACAATTTTCATACCTGCTCCACCTTTCCCACCTATTTTTCATTTCATGTTATTCTCATAGATATAAGGTTGCTAAGAATAGAATAGAATAGAATAGAATAGAATAGAATAGAATAGAATAGAATAGAATAGAATAGAATAGAATAGAATAGAGTCTTGAAAGTCTTCTAGTTCAGCCCCCTGCTCAAGCAGGAGAACCTATACCATTTCAGACAAGTGACTGTCTAGGATTGAAGGACAGCTGACTAGGCTAAGGAGCATTCATCTAATAACTTCATTAATAGATGAAATTCCTGAATAGCTATAGGGCTTTGAAAACCAGGACCTGGATCTTAGTTCAGGGGTCCACAGCCCCTGGGCCTTGGACCAGTACTGGTCTGCAATCTGTTGGGAACCAGGCCACACAACTGGTGGGCAAGTGCACAAAGCTTCACCTGCATTTGCACGGGATCTGAGTTGCATACAGGAAACCACCACCACCCTGCTGCCACTGCCACCGCTGCCACCACTATCAATCCATGGAGCCAGAAATGTTGGGGACCACTTTCTGGCTCCATGCTTTAATCCTTGCATCCTGAAGACATCCAGGGAATAAAATGGAAAATATGTTACTGTGAACTTAAAACCAAGAACGATATAGAAAAATTCAACCTGAGTTCAGTTTTTTATTTGCTTACATACAATAGACAGAATCTTTCCACAATAAACCCTTACTACTCTCAACCTAATAGATATGCCCTGAAAAATTCAAGGGTATTCTAACTCTCTTCTGTCTTTTCTCAGTCTCTAGGCTATGCTACTTCATGTCTCCCCCAACTTTATCCAGGGGAATTTGCTTGTTCACTAAGCTGCCTGATGTTTCTCCCAACTTTCTACAAATGTTTTAGGGGAATTTGCCTGTTCACTGCAGTGAATCACACTAGCTCCCCTTCCACAGGCAACATTTTTCAGAATTACAGCCATGAAAATAAAGATATACAAATAAATATTATCAATGGACAATATTGCTTCTTCCCTGCTTGAATCATGCACACTAATTTTGTGCTTTAGGACAAAGCACTCATAATGCACTAATCACCTGCCATGGTTGTGAATTTTCATATTCTGATAATTTATGCCTCAAAAAATGCCTGCGATTAGATCGAAGTAAGACGAGAGCATGTAAAGCTTGAGCCAATACATAGACTGCGTTATAGATACTATAGCTGTGCCCAGATAGCTGCAATTCAAAAAGAGCTCCAGGAATATCCTTCATCCTCTCCTTTCCAGTACATGTATCACTGTCCAGAGGGGTCAAGATATGAGCTGGCAATAAACAGTCAAATACTTGTTCCCAGAAAAGTGGAAAAAATCTATCTTCTTGAATCCAAGGAGGTTTTATGGACTTCAGGAATTTCTTGAACCCTGGAACGTCTTTGGAGTGAATTGTGAAAAAAATGGCACCGTCCAAAACCTGCCGATCCCATCTTGTTTGCATGCCTGTTAATAAATAAACAATCTGGGCAGTCATGATCCATACCTTTCCCAAGGAACTCTGCCCATCTCTAGGATCAAACGTAAATATAGTATTAATGATCCATGCAATTGTCAAAGATTCTCCACAGACAATAAAAGTATTGATCTTCTCATCAGTTATGTGGTTATAAATATTTTCCCCTATAAAGAACATTTCAGATAAATTGTCCCAGTGGGTTAAATATGGAATTCTTTGTGTACAAGCAGAACAGATTCCATGCTGGGAAAAGAGAGAGTCCATGGTCTGCAGAAAATATTCTCCATGCCTATTATCAATAGCAAAGAGCCCAACCCATCTCCACCCAAAATGTTGAAGCAATCTGATAATCCCAATGTACTGTGAGGCCTCATTTGGAACCATGGAGTAATAGAAGGGAATCTCGGCACTATGAATATCCTTTGGGGCAAATGAACCGTATGTGAGCTAAAAGAAAATAAACACATATTATAGTAATATGTCATCATCTTCATTATCATCATCAACAACAATAACAACTACTTCTCTTTTCCTATTTGGGAAACTAATATTTCTTGACAAATTTGGTCAGATTGTGAGATATGTGGGCATTGTTCAGAGTATAATCATTTTTTTTCATCACCCTCATTTGGAAAAATAAAGGAGGAGGGAATTTTCATGCCTCTGTTCTCAAAGATCCTACCTGTGGAATCTTGTAAAACTGTATAAGGTCTGCAATATAGGAGGAAGTTTCAGAGCTGAGTCCCCCAATGATAGATATGAGATTTTTCCTGGTGTCACACTTGTAGTTGGGAACAAATTTCCGTGACCTGAACAGGAGATCTAGGGTGGTCCAATAGGTCAGCATTGCATTGTAGTAGCTGTCATGAATATGGAAGCCAAGAGTGACATTGGACAAAATTTCTGGATTCTCATTGATCTCCTTCACGGCAAACACCAAGGAAAGGACATGCTGGTAGAATTTTGTTAACACACTGAAAACAGGACAATTTATATGTCTCATTAAATATGTCTAATTCTAGACATTTTCCTGCAGCTTTACAGAGGTGCTTCACTCAATATCCAAGCACAATTGAAGAACAGCCATTTCAACTCTATTGCCAACTCGGCTGCATTGAACTAATTCTTGTGATTTCATTGTAGCAGAATGAATCAATGGGTAGCCAATTTCTCCTACACATTAAGATCTCCTATACATTAAGACAATGAGCCACGGTGTCACAGTGGCAATATTTCAGGCTAATTCTGCCAACTGCCAGCAATTTGATCCTGACTAGCTCAAGGTTGACTCAGCCTTCCATCCTTCCAAGGTTAGTAAAATGAGGACCCAGGTTATTGAGGGCAATATACTGACTCTGTAAACCACTTATAGAGGGCTGTAAAGCATTGTGAAGCATATATAAGTCTAAGTGCTATTGCTATTGTTATCTCCAAATGAGAAATAGGATGACATCTGGTCACATCCCACTGAAACTATTGATCTGGAGGTTTAAACAAATATGAGAAAGTATATTGTTTTGGCAAGTTCCAAAAGTTTCATTAATAAATGAAACAATCTAGAAATGCCACAAAGATAAAAAATAAGAATTGCTTACTCTGGATTGTCAAAATACTCCTGAGAGGGATGCTGCTGAAATGAAACTTCATTAAATTGGTAGTTAACCATAGAGACCATCCCACCAATGACAAGGTCCCCTTGCTGGTACCATTCATTTGGAACAGGTATGGGTTCACCTAGATGACACGGCAAAGACTTCACTCTGAAGAGTGGAAAAAGGAGAAAAAAGAACATTTGGGCAGCAAATGCTCTCTAAGTATAGATGTTCCACCAGCAGCAGCTTTCCATGTTAATCTGCATTCACCAGCCTCAAAATTCCTATTTAGAGCAAGGCTAAAGACTAACTTTTGACCCCGATTCTTCTTGCAAACAGTGATAATATTGAAAAAGGTCTGAATGACAATATAGAGTTCCACCAACAGAACTTAATTTGTGGCAGTTGAAATCATAGGACTTGTGTGTTCTTGTCTTCTACTACCCAGTCTCTGTGGAGCAGTCCTTCTTAATATTTTTTTTTTCTTTTCTATAATGTCTTCTTGAATTGTTTACAGTTTTGATGAAGGGAAAAAAATTATTATCACTGGAATAATTTCAGTGGGGAGATAATTATGACTTCAGCATTTTGTCTTCCATTATTGTGTATATATACATATACATGATAAAAGTTTATAAATATAAATGAGCACCAGGAAAACAAAACCCTTTAAAAAATTTTTTAAAAGGTTTTAATAAATAAATAATGACCCAAGCTTTCGCCGGCTTTCCNTTTTTAAAGGGTTTTGTTTTCCTGGTGCTCATTTATATTTATAAACTTTTATCATGAACACTCCCAGGAATCAACTGTCAGTTTTTAATATTGTTTTTAATACATATACATATATATACCAATACACACACACACACACACACACACACAATCTAGAAGCATGTTTTGCAGGCACATACTGTGAACACTATAAATTCAAAATTTGTGGCTGGCAAAGTGTTAGTGGGAGAATAGCATAGCTATTTCAGGCTCATTAGCCCTCATCAGCTAGTCACACCCTTCACACCCTTCACATCAACTGGCATATAGATCTTTTGCCGGCCTACCAGACTCTTAGGAGATGGGAAAAACAGCATCACAGCCTGCTGAGAAGACATTTAACTCTTCCTTGGCAGGATTGGGGCGGTGGAAGGATGGATGAGACGGGCACAATCTCTAAGAAAGAAGATGACAGCATTTAACAGAATTGGGACGATGGCTCTATAGGTGGTGGGACGACCACGACTCCCATGGACCAAGATGATGAACCAAACGGCCCCAAACCAAGGATGGAAGTGCTGAGGCGATCTGGAAGGAGGGGGAGGGAGGGGGAAGACAGAGAGCAGGAATGCCGGAAAAGCTGCTTGTTGCAGGACTGGGGTGGAGGAATTACGACAATGGCCTTGGGGGTGGGGAAGGATAATGGTCCTGAGAGGGAGGGCACAGAGAGGGCACAGAGGGCACAGAGAGAGACTGGGCACAGGGACGGATTGACAGCTGCCCTCCAAGTGCTTGTACACGCTCCAAAAGAGCACTTGAGGATCATAATATATATATATAATATATATATATATATTACCTTGAGTGCTTTTTGATGCACCCTGTCAACCCAAATATGGGAGAAAGAAATCTGCTTAACATGCAGACAGCCCAGGTTCGAATCACAGAAGGGTATGTTTGGCTGATGAGAGCTAAAAAGCTTGAAATAGCTATTCCATTCTCCCTTAATTCTTTGTTAGCTATCCAAATTTTTTATATATATATATGCGTTGAAGAACACAAGAACTCAGTCAGAAAAGAGGAACCAACTTCTTCCCTGGTCCAACACCTTAAAGCCACAGGACATAAAATTGACTTTAAAAAGACCAGAACTATTGCCAAAACTGAACACTTTAACAACAGAATAATCAGAGAAGCCATCGAGATAGAAAAACGCCCACACAGCATGAATAAACGAGATGATACCTC